GGGGGGGGCTGGGAGGGACCTGCAAACATCAGCGGGTTCCCACCCCCCCTCCCCCCTGCACGGGCAGGGGCACATCCCGCCCGGGCTGCTCCATCCCTTTTCACCTGGTAACACAGAATAGTGTGCGGCCTTGATGTATAGCTCTTGTAAGTAATTCTCAGTGCCCGGGGCAGGTTTGTGTCTGGTGTGTCTTATTGCTCCGCTTTGCACATCGCTCTGCAGACCCCAGCCCAGAAGCCGGGCTGGTGACACAGCCCCGGGGCCACCGAGCGCCAGGCTGGCCTGCCAGTGACACGATGTCCCTGCAGCCACCAGCCCCGGAGGGTGAGGCTGAGGCACTCCTAGGAGACAGAGGGTACTTGAGGATGACTTCAGCCTGATTTGTTTATAAATATAGAATTTGCCTCCAGAACTTGCAACTTGGCATCTTTTACAAGACCTAAATATACTCCTAAAAGGCTGTTTACGTATTAAAGCCCTTTAGAACCCACTTGTGAAAATCCATTTAAAGCCCTGCTTTGGCAGAGCAAGCACTGAGCGTCTCGGTAGGAGCTTGTTCACAGCAAGTGCTTCAGTGCCCAGAGCAGAAGTGCTGAGAGGCAGGTGGGGCAGGTGGGGCAGCTAAAACTTCTTTACACAGTCCCTTAAAGAGCCTGTTTCCTACAGCTTCACCAGTTTTAATACTTGGGTTGGAATTTTCTCTATCACATTCTGCATAAGGCTAAACTTCCACAGAAAATTTAATCCAAGCAAGATTTTCTGGCTTCAAGAAAAAGGTTCTGCCATATATAATACTTTTAATAACTTCTGCTCAGAGTGTTAAAAGCTGTTGGCAGGTAGCTTTTTGATGTTCTCACAATCATCTGCAAAAAAAGCAATCTCATAATAAAGTTTTGCAAGTTCATATTCTGGAAACACAGGAAAGATTTCTTAAGCTCAGTACAAGAAATCTTCTCAGGTCCCATCCATCAGAGGCATGTTCAGCTCAAAACTTGACAGGATTTTCACAGTACCTACAACTCCAGGTTGTTGCAGACTAGCCCAGGAACAGGTACCTAGAAGGAAGTTGACAGGTTGTATCACACAGATAAGGGAAATTGTAGGACTTACATTCTCTAGGTCTGAAGCAGCACATGAAAACACTCACTAAAGATTTTTTATTAAATTACTAAAATATGTTTTAATACTGTAGTAATACCAGAAATCAACCATCAATGCCCATCTGGGCTAGGATCTGTGCAAATATATATAGTTATAGACCCTGTGAAGTCCTTTTCTCACATGCTGCACAGAGATTTATGTTGCTGTGATATTTTGGCTCAGGATTAAGATTAGGACCTTCAAAATGTGAAGGCCATAAGAAAAGCCAAAAGCACATACTTTACAAATGATGGCAGAAGCACAGTCTTTGCCTACTCACCAGATCCTGAGCCAAAGCCCTCTGGTCCTAGAGGGTGCCGGACCAGGCACCTATCAAAGCATTTCATATCATTCCTTTACAGCATCCCTGAGGATGGCAGGAACCATCCAATGCCAACTACCATCTTAAAGCAGGGACAGCAAGAACAGGTTGGTCAGGCCTGTGTCCAGTTGGGCTTTGAATATCTCCAGGATGGAGACATCACAACTACTCCAGAAAACCCGTACCAGTGCTCAGCCACCCTCCAAGTAACAAAGTTTTTCTTATGTTTAAATGAGATTTCCTGTGTTTCAGTTTGGGCCTGTTGTCCCTTGTCCTGTTACTGGGAACAGCTGAGAAAAGGCTGGCTCAGAGCCTCCTGAGCCTCCTCCAGGCTGAATAATTCCAGCTCTCTCAGCTTTGCCCCATGTGGCAGATACTACAAGTAAGAAACTGCTGCTGCAGTAACTATTTTGCCAACTTTCAATATACTACAGATCATATAATCTGAAGTGTTTTGACCATCTAAAGAGATTCACAGACTCTATCATTATCTTCCACTGAATGCATACGCTGAAACTAGTCTAGTTCCTCTGACACCAACATAGCTATTTTCATCTGAAGGACTAGGAAATAGTATTAAAAAAATGCAAAGGAAACATTGCATTGTTGTTCCACATAAATGGCGTTGTGGCTTTCCACCTTTATCTGGTGATTCCCGAGGGACACGAGAGTGCTTTGTTGAAGAGCAAAGTGATGTCTTTCATAGCTTCCAAAGGCCTTCTAGGATCTGAAACCCAAATTGTTTTCATGGCCATCAACTTTGGCAATCAATATCCTACTAGCCAAAACACTACCTCAGAAACAGGTAGGCAGGTCCTCTGGCTTCAGAGATGTCTTAAGCAACACTTCACAAACACACTGATGTTAAATCTCCAGAATCACTTCTGCAAACCCATGGAAAACATGGTTACACAATGAAAAGTAAGCTTGTTCAGCCTCTCTGCTCACTTGAACACACTGATATGCTCACAGCGTTTATGATATGAACTTTTGCATATAACATTGAGAGTGCAGTTTGACATCGACAGCATTTGAGCCCTGGCAGATAGAGCCACCTTTTCCCTAGAAAACTTTTAATTGTACTAGCAGCAGGAACCTGCTGCTTTAACCTTTTGAGTTTCCAGGGTAGAAGCACTTTTAAAGCAACATCTTCCAGGGGCACCAGCTGAGAATTTTGGCTCTGTGGTGGAGGGAATGTGCAGAGAGGTGCTGAATCTCTCAAAGCCCTCCTTGGCATTATATCCAAGAACCTGCATTTCCTCCATGGGGCTGAACTAGCTCTGTAACTGCTTAGGGTCAATATGTCCCATTTCAGTTTGAAAATACCTCTTTGCAAAATGCCCCTTTCACAAACAGACAAACTACAAGGAGTTAATTTACATAGCAGGATGCTTTATAGAAAAAATAGGTGTCTAAATTTGCCAGCAAGATTCTAAAAGTGAACATTCTCTGGGGACAAAATTAAAGCAAACCCAACTGAATGAGAAATCAAAGACTAACACACAGATTTTTCTTAGGGAGCAAATACAGAGTCTGACATTCCCACCCACCTAGAGCAGCTCAGTGATGGGCAATAAGACAAAGCAGCAATCTGAGCAACAAGAGGCTCCAGGGGAATAAACAATGTATTTCTTCTGTCAACAAAAATATATGTCTGTCTTTATTCTTTTAATAAGACTCCCATGATATATTATTTCTATTTCCAGTTA